GTGTCTGCTGTTAGGCAAAACCTCTTATGGGTAGATGCCCCTATTGTCTTTACTGTTAATGTGGTCCAGGGTGGAACTACCGTACATACCCTTGTGTAGAGTATGCCCTGCTATAGACCTCAAGAGACTAAAATGATCAGTTAATGGTGCAATTGCTAATCATCTTCTGGCGATTATTAAAAACAACAAAAGCAGCAACACCGATTGATAAAAACTTTTATTTGGAATGTTCGCTTATGTCTCATAAATCCATTCAACGTAAAGTCTTTATTGCGAAATAGCAAACTGCTTAATAAAACAAGCTAAAGAGTAAAGGAATGAAGTGCAAGTAAAAATAAGACAATGGTAAAGAAGAGTCATTTAACCCTTTCGCTGCTGGAGGCTTTGCTACTAAGTATAGGAGATTTTTTTCGTATCACATTTTTTAATTGTTTCTATAAAATATGATTCAACAGTATTAGTTAAAAGATACATATTTTTGCCATCTGATATATACATACACAAGTATTTACAGTTAAAATACATATTTTAGGTGGAAAAATTGCTCAAAACCCCCCAAAATATTTTTTTTTCTAAAAGCATAGGCCCTGGAGAATAAAATGGTGGCAGATACAATTTTGTAAGTCACACAATATTACTGTAACTGTTTATCAAACCCATATTTTTAGTAAAAAAAATGCATTCAAAGTAATTTAAGTGCACATAAACACAATATAATGCACACTTTCTTTGCAAAATATAAAAGTTTGGGTTGAGTAAATAGATACCAATGATACCAAACATGTCAAGCCTCAAAACTGCTTGCATTTGTGAACAGCAAAAAATGTTGGTACCCCAAATTGTCTTTAGTCGTAGTTTCAAAAGTCACCAATTTTTGCTCATAAGTGCTTCTCATTGGTCACAGTGGTCATGTGACCATGCTGACCAATCAGCGCCCGCAATTTGCGAAAATGCTTAATACTAGCTGCAGTGTGGACTGCATACTGGATGCAGGGGAAGGCGAGCTCTAAGGCTGGGCTCACACCTAGGCGTACGGAATATGCGCGTTTGCTGCGCGTTTTTACCGCGATTTGCAGTAAAAGAACGCACGTTTCCGAGGGCTATCCCGCTGTATCCTAATGGATACGCGCGACAAATATGCCCCAAAGAAGCTCCTGTACTTCTTTGGGCGTAGGTCGTTTTACAGCGCGTTCCTACGCGCTGTAAAATGCCCAGGTGGGAACCATGCCCATAGGAAATTATTGGTTTTCACATGTTCAGCTTTTTACAGCGCGTAGGAACGCGCTGTAAAACGCCCAGGTGTGAACCAGGCCTTACACTGTAAAGTAAGGATGCACCGATACTTTTCAGATGCCAGTACCGATACTTGGCATTTTCATGAGAACTACCAGGGTTGCAGCGGTTGCAGCTGGGACCTAGCTCTGGCGCTCCACCACTGTCCTGATATCATTAGTCGATTATTGTTGTTTTAGAAAAACTGTCACATGACAATAAACAAAAATGTATCAGTACTTGTATCTGTAAGTACTCGACAAGTATCAGTACTTGTACTCGCAAAACTGGTATCGGTGCATCCCTTTATTTATATTTATAAAATCTAAATTATACAATAAAACAGAGTTGTACAAATCCCAGGAGCTCCGTTTGCTCCTTACAAATGACAGCTGCCTCCTATCTTTTGAACTTTTCACTAGACTAGTCTTGGAGTTCTAAAAGTATCTGTACTTGTACTGAGTACGGTACTTGGTATCGGTGCAACTCTACTGTAAAGGTATAAAGAGTGGGGACAGGGAGAGGTGGCAGAGTGGAGTGGGTAAGTTCATTTTCTCACATTTTGTGAGAAAGTGTACTTACCCTTTAACCATGAATGATGGCCCTAGAATTATTGCTCTCACTCCAGTATACGTGGTGATACGGAGCACGCGTGGCACAATTGTTGTTTTCATTTGTAGCTGCTGTTACATTCGTATTTGTGTACAAAGTGCTTTAAAAAAAATGGGGAGGATTTTATTTAACAGAATGCCATAAGCTATAGAGGTCTATGAATTCCAGCAATACAGAATAGTATATGAATTTGCAACATACTCTGTGCTGCCGCTCTGCACCGGGGTGCCGGCCTGGTGTCTTGGATGGAGGGTCCCAACAGTGGCAGATGCAGAAAGTCTCAGCAGGGGCAGATGCAAACGGTCTAACGGAGCCAATGTAAAGGATCAGCAGGGGCAGATGTGGAGGATCAGCAGGGGCAGATGTGGAGGATCAGCTGGGGCAGATGTGGAGGATCAGCTGGGGCAGATGTGGAGGATCAGCAGGGGCAGATGTGGAGGACCAGAGGGGCAGATGTGGAGGATCAGCAGGGCAGATGTGAAGGATAAGCAAGAGCAGATGCAGAGGATCAGCAGGGCAGACCGGGGGGGCATCAGAGGGGCAGACGGGGAGCATCAGAGGGGCAGATGGGGAGCATCAGAGGGGCAGATGTGGAGCATCAGAGGGGCAGATGCGGAGGATCAGGGGGGCAGATGCAGAGGATCAGGGGGGCAGATGCAGAGGATCAGGGGGGCAGATGCAGAGGATCAGGGGGGCAGATGCAGAGGATCAGAGGGGCAGATGCAGAAGATCAGAGGGGCAGATGCAGAGGATCAGATGCAGAGGATCAGAGGGGCAGAAGCGGAGGATCAGAGGGGCAGAAGCGGAGGATCAGAGGGGCAGAAGCGGAGGATCAGAGGGGCAGAAGCGGAGGATCAGAGGGGCAGAAGCGGAGGATCAGAGGGGCAGAAGCGGAGGATCAGAGGGGCAGAAGCGGAGGATCAGAGGGGCAGAAGCGGAGGATCAGAGGGGCAGATGCAGAGGATCAGAGGGAGGTTAGCATGGTTGATGTACAGGCAGTGGAGATCTGTGCTGGTGGTCGTGGAATGCAGTGTAATACAGGCAGAGACTCGGTCGGCTGCTGTGAGGAAGAAGCCAGGATGAATCTCACTTTCACTTTGCCGCACAGCACTCCTCTGCCAAACCCCCCCTCCACCCTTCCCCCCCTCTCACCTCACGCAACTGTAGGAGACATCCATGCACAGACATCATCACACTCGTCTGCAGCTGCGTAAAGCGACGGCAGGGTCTGCTGGGCACGGACACATGCTGTGGGGCTGGAAGTAGGTGAAAAGAGAGCTGGAGGGGAGGGACGGTGACGGGCCCCCTTCTGGCCGCGGGCCCTCGGTCTGTGTCCGAGGGCCTGAATGGTCAGTCCGCCCCTATGTGCAGGCATAGATTTTATCGCAACACAGGGCTACAAAGCATGGCAACACACTGCAATGCATTAAGCTCAATGAGTGTAATAAGAAAAAAGATTAAACTATGCACAGCAGTGGGAGTGCATTATGCGCAAAATAATGCATGCCAGCTGGTGCCTTAGTGTGTTGGCTGTTTAAAGTATGATCCATTGCCTGAAATGAGGCCTGCTCGGATTTTCATTTCAGTTTTTTCACATTTTATGTTGATAGGGAATGTTGTTTGAAGCATTTAAAGTGTAGCTTTCACTTACTAACTAGCTATTTCCTAAGCTCCTTTTTGTTGGCAGCACATACATTTGGAACTAGCCTTGCTCATTAAAATTGTCCTGCTACTGGCCAATGTTACACTACCGTTTCATCTGCAGTCTCTTATTTCCTGTAGTAAAACACCTACCTGTACTTTTTGTGACTAGTAAATTTGAACCTAGCCTTATTATTTAAAATTGCCCTGCTGCAGGCCAGTTTTATACCACTTTATCATCTGTAGTCTCTTAATTCCTGTAGTAAAACACTTACTTACCCGTACTCTTTTTCTCTAGTAAATTTGGGCCTAGCCTTATTATTTTAAATCGTTCTGCTGCAGGCCAATTTTACACTACTGTATCATGTGTGATCTCTTAATTCTTGCAGTACAACACTTGACTCTACCCCCCAACAGACTTCAGTGGAACTCGCCTCTATGTTTGGGTCCACTGAATTTTATAGAAGAATCACTGAACCCTTGGCAAATCAAACCTGGGCAGATTCTCCCATCACTAATTTCAATCACTTCCGGTGTTCACTTTTTTATTACACTGCATACCCTACATACATTCAATGGCTCTTTTAATTTGAGCCTTTTAGGTATGTGCTGAATTCAGTTGCTTAGAAAACAGAGCTCTTTATAGATAGTTGGGAACCTGGCAAAATCAAATCAACATTCTCTAATACTCAGTGGCGAATGCAGTGTGTAGTCTGGCCACCTTGCCTTGAGCAATGGCCACTATGGCAGCAACTCTAGCAAAGCGTTATAAGTAGCTAGTTTGTGATCCAATACTCTTAACATTCCTGGTTCTGAAAAATCTGAATGGAGAAGCCTACTGCTTTATCTCCAACCAGAGTTATCAGTATTTGCTACATCAATTGAACATCATAGCAGCTGCATGAGAGAAACCAAAGCTAGTCAGGAAAAGGCAAAACAATTAATAAAAGAAAAACACAATGACATAAATTAAAATGTAGTCATTTCAAGTTTAAGTGAAACTATATTTTAAATGTTTTGACTTGGAAAGAGTGGGGAAAAGTTAGAACCTTTATTATGCTTTTTGTTGTCTGTTTCCCTGGTTGGGAGTAGAGTTGCTCCTTAGCACTCAGATGACAGTTTTATGAATTTGAATGTCCTGAGCAAAGTCCAAAAATCAGCATTATATTTAGCAGTTCAGATTCCTGAAAGGTTTCTGGGAGAAAAAGACCAAAGGGTTTTTCAAAGTCTGATTCTACTGTTGCCTGGAGGACCTTTGCTTGACCTTCTATTTGAGTATCCCTAGTAGGAAATGTAAATAATTGAAAAAAAAATGGCTCAGACTGGGTTATTTTGGGGGTCCATAAAGTATGTGCATAGATTAAACCTTCGTGTATGAATTATGAAACAAAAAAAGGAACAGAATGCTGTGTTGCAGCTTTTTATGCACCTACATCCAAAGATACAAAAGTATTTAAAGACCCAGTAGAGTCACTTTACTCTGTTAGGTTTTTTGTTGTGGATTCAGCTAATACAGAAGGACTGGGCACCCATTGTTTCACATAATTTCTTTCATATAGTTCCTCTTCTCCATTGTAGGAGTCTGAGCTGAGTGGTTCTTGGGGTGTGCCCTTGTTTCCAAAATCACTGTCCACTGGGCTCCCGCATTCAGAATCACAGAAACCACTGTCAATGGTGTCCAAATCTAGACAAATCCTGGGATAGCCAAAATCAGCACTATTTCCTGAGTCTGGAGAAATGGCATTATAATTGTCATTGTAAAAAACATTTTCATCACATTCTTGGCTTGGAGAATCCTGGAACTCCCACCCTTCTGGCGAAGTTGGCACCAGGTCCAAAATATTTAGATTGGGTCCTAGGAAACCTTCTTTCAGATGCAAGTTAGAGTGAATTAAAGAACACATGGTAGCTTGTGAATCTGATTTACAGTCAAGCATGTGGTTCACCATGTTGCTGTTGTTGCTGTCAAGATTGACACAAGGGTAGCTGTCATCTCCACTTGTATCCATGGCAGCTTCAAGATCATCTCTGATGTTGAAGTGTGCACAAGGCTGAGGGCCTAGAGGCAGGCTCTCCGAATCCTTGTCTAGAACTGGTCCGTTACAATCACACTTCCTGCAGTCTCCAATGCCTCCACTTCGGCATGGTTTGGTAACTAAAAGTTTCTGTTTATCCAAGCTAACGAGATCTTGTTTTGATGCATTCTTCAGAAAACCCTGGCTGTAAACTTCAAAGAATTCTGGGAATACCATACTATCAAATGGTGTTGCTTGGTAGTAAGAAGAACCCAGCCAGCTCTGGAAAAAAACAAACCTTATTATGTTGCAGTAGAAGACACTTTCAGATTACTTCTGTCACCTATAACTATTTCAAAACCTACAAAATCTTTCATAAACCAGTAAAGGGTATTTTCAGCAAATCTGAAATCCCCTATCTGTCCAGGACCCCTTTATGTAGTAGCACAAATTGTTCCCCCTTCCTTATGGTCCTGGGACATCTCAGGACAAAGATCTGCAGTTACAGATTTAGCCTGCTCATGAAATCTAGTATTAATGCCAAGTCTTATAAATATAATGATTCTCTAAGAGATTAGTTCTATTGTTGTCATCTTAAAGAAGAACTCCAGGTAAACTTTACAGTGGAGCTACCCCTTCACTGCAAGGGTTAAAAGAGAATTATGGGGAGAGTGAAATACACTCATCCCCATAATTGGAGCTGACGTGTGACGCTGAAGCTCTATAGATCGAGAACTGAGCAATCACATACCTCTGATCGCTCATGTCCAGATCTTCTACCTGCAGAGAGCGGTGACTGGTAGTCACTGCTCCCCAAAGGGATTCCCCCTCCCCTCTCTATTCTTCCAGCGCTGCCTGGATGGAAAAATGGGGGACGGGGCGGGCGAGAGGCAGAGCCAGCTGTCATTCAGGCAGCAGGATGGATCTCGACAGTATTGTCGGTATCTGTCCCAGCTGCAGCATGGCGCTGCACTGTCAGCATATAGTGGGCACTAGCCCACTATATGCTGAGTGTTGGGTCACAGGAGGACATTAGGAGGACTGGTTGCTTCAGTTTATAGGCAATTTAAAAAAAACCTGCATTCAGGAGACGGTAGTATCACCTCCTGAATGCCGGGTAGCCGCTGCTCCACCAGTCTTTGAAATCACTGCGAATTCTAGAATTAATTTGGCAAAGCAAATACGGTTAGCCTGGGAAAAATAGAAATTAATAACAGAGTGTCACCTGCTGGACTGGAAGTATTTAAAGTTCTTTTAAATAATGTCAAAGTTAACCCTTGCAGGGGCTGCCCCATACTGCAAGGGTTCACTGTGAGTTTTGTCTAGGGAAGAAAATAAAAAAGGTATATTCACCCTATTCTCAGCCCTGCCTAGACTGCTAGACTGGTACCCACAGCCTCTGCTCCCCCGGGCTCTGGCGGTTTCATGATCAGTTATGTCTTCATGTCTAATACAGTTTATTAGACGCGAGGACGCCGAGGGACATACTGCAGATGGAGTGGAGGGGGAGAGAGGTGAGAGCTCACTGCCGCAGGACCGGAGATCGGGTGAGTATTTCTTCTTCTAAAAAGAGCAGTTAACCCTTCCAGTGCAGGTGTGGCCCCACTGCAGGTGTTAACATTGAAAGATCCTGGAGTTCTTCTTTAATGTGAACTATTTATTTGCAGTATTTCACATTAACCTGACAAGAAAAAAGGTAATGAAACTTCGGTATCTACCTTACATTCGCTAAAACCGTCAAACAAAGGAAATATATTTATTATTGCTAATCACGCAGATGTGCATGTTGCCTTTATATATAGAAAACAAATACAATTTATATGGTTAATGGTTTTTGTTAGTATGTATTTTGTATTAACCTTGACAAACCACATCCTTCATGTGTGAAATGACATTCATAACAATAACCCTGCGGGTGGAAAATGTTTTTCATATACATTTCGTACTGGTTTGGCTAGTTATTTACACTTAATACAGTCAGTCCCCGAGTTACAATCAACCGACTTACATACGACCCCTACTTATAAACGGAGGCGATTACTGTACAGCAGGGGGTCCCAGGCTGCAGCCAAAGTGTACTGCGCAGCATTTCAGTAGTTGTGCCGACGAGGAGTGCCCGCGTTTTTGGGTCTGATTTGTAGTACTGTACGTACATTACAGGAAGTTGGCTCTTGTTAGACGTGCAGACGAGGGGATGTCCGCCTCTTCTTCCGGGCCACTGTGAGGTTTTTACTGCTGTCTGTATCCTCATTAGAAAGATTCCATCTCACTTCCTGTCCTTGAGACAACAGGAAGTGAAAGGAAATATACCCTTAGGAAGGGAAATTCACTCCTGTAAGAGTTATCATGGGAAAAAGGTGTCTCCACCAAAGCTTTATCACCAATCGTTTCCACGATAACCCAACATTTTCAAAATCCAATTGGCACAGGGACAGAAAGTGAGGTGAAATTTTTTGAACAGGGGCACACACAGCACCACAAACATTACAAGGGGTTAGCCCTTCTCTATGCTATACAAAATGTAACAACATTTTTTGGCTGGAGTTGCACTTACAAAATGTACCTGTTCCAACTTACATACAAATTCAACTTAAGAACAAACCTACAGTCCCTATCTTGTTCGTAACCCGGGGACTGCCTGTATAGTAGTTGTTGGATATCTGAGAAAAAGACAACTGTTTAACCTTTCTGCTTGCTCTCCTTTAGAGAGACAGGCCAAACCTCCAGTACTGGTCAAAAAAAGTAGATGGCGGTCGGAATTGCATGCCGGACTTGACTGCCAAACCATTTCTCTTTTTTTTTTTTTTTTCAAAAAAAGCTTATAAACATTCCTTCTTATATTAAAGTGACCCTACAGGGTCAAAATAAAAGAAGGGCCTCCCTGTAAAAAGAAGTGGAGTATCCCAGGTGAGGGCAACTTTGGCAATCCAGCTATGCTGAAACTACAAGTCCCATGAGGCACTGCAAGACTCTGAAAGCCACAAGCATGCTCCCAGAGCTAGAGGCATCAAGGGCAGTGGCGTAACAATTGCACTAGCGCCCAGGCGGCCGCTATGGGGCCCCGGGCACAGGGGGGCCCGGCCAGATGCCGTGCGGGCCGCCTGGGTCGCTATGGCATCTTATGCGGGTGGCTTTCACTGGCGGCTGTGAGAAGAATGTGCTGCTGTTTAGATCACTGACAGTGATCTGTGCAGTAGCCCGTTCTTCTCACAGCCGCTGCGGAGTTAATGAGAGCCAGCAGCGGCGGTGGAGCAGGCTGGAAACGGCAATGGAGGAGAATGCGGGGCCCGTGGTCAGCAGCAGAGGAGGAGGTGGGGCCCAGTGACGGAGAAGGAGGCGGACCCGGTGGAGGAGGCGGGGACAATCAGCAATCATGCAGGAAGAGGAGGCGGACAGGTAAGGAGTGTGGCCATCTTGAGATCCCACTTGAGCGTGGGATCTCAAGTGGGCTCTGCAAGGGGCATAACTAGAAGTCACAGGGCCCCATACAAAATTTTGCTATGAGGCCCTGTGATTTCTAGTTACGCCCCTGATCAAGGGAATCGTAATTTCATTACAGCTGGAGTGTCGAGGTTGCCTACCCCTGCTGTATACTTACCATTCCAGTGTGAAATACGTGCTTCCCTCCTACGCACCATGGTTGCTCCTGCAGGTTTGTAGTGATGTAGAAGCCAGTGGAAGGACCCATAGTCGGAGAGTAGGTACAGTATTTGGCAAACTTGCAAGTGTCAGATATATACAGCGGCTGGGTATCAGCAGCATTAGGGATTTTTTTAAGACATGGGCTGGCGGAAAGGTAAGTAAACAGCATTTCTTTTTAAAGGGAAGTTTTACATAGGATCACTTGATGCAAACGTGTGCATTTCCCCAGCAGACACCACGGGAACTAAACTTTTTTGGCAAAAGTTCCTTTGCATGCCTTTTCTGCAAAAAAAAAAAATCTCTAGCTCGGGTGAATATTCTTTCCTTCCTTTTTTCTCTTGTTACAGATCTGACATGACTTAATAAGGCAATGCTGCAAAACTGACACATCAGATTTTTGTGTATGGTTAAGTGGCATGCTTTGCAGGCATGCTGCTGTTACTTTCTTCTGGTTATTGGCTTCCTTTGAGGAAGTGGCAGGAAGCTTACATAACTTTTGCGTGCAAAAAGGTACAAAACAAATTCGTTTTCACACATAAGCGTGATGTTATTATACACGATAACATATGTTTTTGCAACCACAGCATTTTTTAACCGTCAATCATATGCCGATAGACATTGGATGACAGCACCTCCTTATTATGGTTGGATCAGTAGACAGTCCACTACAATCTGAAAGGCCATTCATGGGTAAAAAAAGCGACGGGGCAGTTTATCAATGGGCAAAGCACAGCTTTAATGTCTGCCATTTGCTCTTAGCACAGTAAGCAATAACTACTCACTGAAAATATTTGACATTATCCCTTTAAGGTGATTAAAGTACACAAAATAGTCACTATTGAGGTTTGTTGAAACAAGTCTGACTGTACGTTCCACAATAACCAACCACATTGCAATTGCAGACATCCCAACTCTCCCGTACTAGATAGCGGCCCCCGGCCGCCCGGGAGAGAAACATTTTCTCCCAGAACGGTTTACTCTGCTCAGTCTAGCAGAGTAAAACTTTCCCTGCGATCTGTTTTTTTTTTTTGACATCGGGGCCGCTGGCCGCCATCAGTCATAGAAAAAAAAAAGCCAGCATAGGAGAGCATAGCTAGATTCCTATTGGCTATTTCACTTTGCAATAGGCAATAGCAGACTAGCTATTGCACCTGCCCATTGCTGCTGTCAATCAGCAGAGGGGAACCTAAAGTTCTCCATCAGGTCCTCTTCTAATGATTGACAGCAGCAGAGGGTGGGTGCAATAGCCAGCTTGCTATTGGATATTGGAAATTGAAATAGCCAATAGCAATCTAGCTATTCATTCCTATGCTGTTTTAAAAAAAAAAAATATTCTGACGGCAGCAGCTGTCAGAGTACTAAAACAAACAAAAAACGGCAGATAGCAAAGAAGCTATTCATTCCCTTGCTATCTGCCATCATTTCATTCAGGGGCAGAGGGCACCTCCCTGAAATAGCTTTTTTTTAGGTTGGGATCCCTGCAATTGCTATTTTCTACAGCGTAGTAGAAGATAAAAGCAATGCAGACATTTGCTATAGACAACACAGAAAAGGTCTAATTATTATTATAATACAGGGTTTATATAGCGCCAACAGTTTGCGCAGCGCTTTACAATATCAGGAAGACATTACAGTTGCCA